CACTCACACCCACCCACACCCAATACATCTATCCAAACCTACCACACCCACACTCTTATAACAAGTACGACGCATATGTCGGACTTGACTGTGAAATATTTCAAAATCAACTAGTTGCCTTTTAAATTCAATTAGTTGAATTTAAAATTCATTTTGAAGGCAACTAGATGATCTTAAAATATTTTAAAGTCAACTAGTCGTCCTTAAAAGGAAACTGAATTTTAAAATCAACTCCGATATATACATATATCTATTGTTTTCTTTCTCTCTTGTTTCCTTTCCCTCACTTCAATATTTCTCTTCTCTTGATGTTGTTCAGATATATTCCCTTCTTTGCCATGTTTTCTTTCTAGGTTTTTGGTTTTTTCCTAGATCATTCATATATATATATATATATATAGTTACCATTTCTGCAATAAAGTAGTAGTTTAATATTGATCTGTTAGATCAATCCTCCGTTAACAAAGGGCAATATAAATTCATTTATGTATACAAAAACGTATTTTTTTAATTTTACAAAACAAAATATAAAAAGAAAAAGAGGCAGACCATCTTAAGGAAAAAAAGCTTTACTTACACAATAATATACTGTTTTTCCAATTTGCTTTTTGTTTCAATTGTAAGTAACTTTTTTATTTCTCTAACAGAGATGTGCGGTCCACGGGGTTCACCCCGCGGGGCCACGTGGCGATGGGCGGGCGGGGAAGAAAAATTTAATTAAACGCGGGATTAACGGGGCGCGGGTATTTTCCAACACACGGGCGGGCGGAGTGGGGAATCATTTTTTTAAATGGCACGGGTCTCGGGCGGAGCGGGTATGAGATACACGGGTTCGGGCGGTTAAACATTTTTTTTCGGGTGTGATGAAAGATCGTCAAAACTTATCACGGGATGTCCTTAGTATAGGTATGTAGTACAAAGTACATATTGATTGGTTCATTACTTTCATCCTATTATGTATAAGATTGTCTACTATTTGTTTGTTTCTTTCTTTATCGTCTGTCATACGCAACTTCTACTATCAATTTATATGAAGTGAATAACTGGATTAAAACTTATTTTATATTTAGAATTATCGTTTGAATTTTTTTGTGAATTACTACTTAGGTCTGACCAAAAGTTCTGACAACATTATATAAAAATATAAAGATAAGGAGGTATCTTTAATTTTATTTTATCAAATTTTGAGGACAGTTGCCATGATTATTTATACCAAGTTTGATCCTTTCCAACGATTAGTTAAAAGTTTTTTGAAGTTTTTTCGAAAAAATTTTTAGGTATCATGGATACTGCATGAGCTAATCATATTTTATTTATTGTGAAAAGTTAGCAAAATCTTGTTCGATTATATCAGTTGCATTCTAGTACTGCTAGTGATGAAGTATAGATTTATTTTAGATAAGTAAGTCATAAGTTATCCGATGCTGGCTGGCTTATTGAAGATGAATCGTCAAAGACTATTGTTCATGAATAAAGATTTTAGAAAATGGTTTGTTTGGTATATTCTTTAAATCAAATACTCCTGAATGTAGATAAAGGCAAGACTGTAAGTCACAAGTATTATGCTGAAAACTCTCCAAAACATTTTATTAATGAAATATGGAAACAAACAGAAACATCAGGTTCAAAATGTACAAAATTGCTTGATGGTCATCGTTGACTTCATACTCATCTAATGTTATTAACTGCATGACAGAAGAAGGCATCAATATAATATCATATCTATCATATTCGCCAGGCCTGATACTATGTAACTTTTCGATAACTAATTCTATCAAATGTAGTTTAACTGATTAAATCAATGAAACATGATAAGCTCGTGCGATATCTAAGATATCTAAAAAAATTTTCGAAAAAAACGTTTGACAAATTGTTGGAAAGGATCGAACTTGGTATAAATAATCATGGCAACTGTCCTCAATATTTGATAAAGTAAAATTAAAGATACCTACTTATCTTTATATTTTTATATAATGTTGCCAGAACTTTTGGTCAGACCTAAGTATGGTCGAATTACATGATTTATCTCCTGATGAATCACTTGATAGGACAGCTTCGTCGAATACTGATCGTTCATCTACAATTATTTCTTCATCTCTCAGTCATTGCTCATCGAGTAATATTAAATGTAATTCGTCAAATATAAAAATGTTTTTAAAAGCACAACCAGAAAAATACGTGCTTGTCGACAATCACAAAGTGAATCATTCAAAACCATCTCATATAGACTTGAGTTTAGTTTTTGTAAAAAATGATTATTCATAAAAGGAACGCATCATTAAAAATAAAGTATTTGGTAAATAAAAAATTTCTTCGGGTTACACGGGGGCGGGTCGGGCGGGCCGGTCCAAGAAGCTGCCTGTGCGGGGTACGGGCGGAGCGGGTATAGATTTGCCGGGGCACAGGCGGGGCGGGGATTCTCAAAAAGAATATCCACGGGTTCGGACGGGGCGGGTTTGTGAATTTTACGGAGCGGGCTCCACGGGGCATGGAAAATCAATGCACCGCACATCTCTGCATGGAACTCACCTCAATTTTTAGTTCTTACAAGATTTCTCGTAAATACTCTCAATAGAAACGAAACACTGGATGCATATTTCTATTCACTTTCTTCTATGATGTACAAATGTTCATTCAATGATATGCCATGTTCAGTAAATGATTTCGTTCCATTTATATCATTCGTCTACGGTGCCTGTTATACATTCAATGCACAATTAAAAAATAATGCCAATCGAAATACAGTTTATGCCAACGAATATGGGGGTGATGGCAAACTCTCTATAGGTCTTTACATACATAGTCATCAATATGTGCCTTCTCTCAGGGATGGTAAGTCAATATTTTATTCAACAAATATTATAAATTAATTTTCTCTATTAAAGGGTTTGGTGCCGTGGCTCTAGTTCACGATAATACACAATTACCAAATATTGAAGCAGCTGGTATTGAATTAGCGTCAGGACGAAGACAAAAAATTGCATATAGAAAGAAGACAACTTACCTATTATCTTCACCGTATACAACATGCACTAAAAGTGTATCTCCAACTATGCAAGCCATGTTTGAATATCACAATAATACTAATTATGGCTATTCTGAAGCGTTATGTTATCAACTTTGTGGACAGATCTATGCGTAAGCATACTTTAATTGATGATAAAATATCCTAATGTTCATGATATTTTATCCAATGAAGTTCATTGTATCTTAGATATGAACAATGCGGTTGTGTCAATCCTATCCTATGGAATGATCGTAAATTCTATGTCTCGAGCATGAATCGAGTGATTTTTGCACCTTTTTGTGAACTCGACAATAAGTGTTACAAGGAAGCCATTGGTAAACTTTAAACTTCGTCTCCTCTTATGAACAGTTATTGTTCAGAATGTTTACAAGAATGTGTAATAAAAAATTTTATTATACAAACTTCTTCACTCTCATTACCAGGCGAATGGGAAATGGAAAAAATAAAGAAGTTTGTTGAAAATTCCACGATTTCATTACCGACGAATTGGTCTCGTACATGGCAAGATGAAATTCGTAAAAATTATCTTGCTATCAATGTTGTACGCGAAACAAGTATTGTCAAAAATAGTACACAATCAGCGACCATGGATGTAGTTGATGTGTTTTCAAATGTTGGCGGTCAAACTGGTCTATGGATTGGCATTAGTCTTCTTTCAATCATGGAGCTAATAGAAATGCTTTATCGATTGATTCGAAACGAATTTCATATTATTCGAAGAAAGATACAAGCTAATAGACAATAAATTTTGCCTTATCTCTCATTGATACGACAAATAAATCGAACATTTAATCTATTATCATGTCTGTGAAATATAATAATCTCGTGTGATACCATTTTGTCCAACATGTATTTTTACTGATCTCTCATAAAATCATATTCAAACGGAAATAAACCATTTATTCGAACAGCAAACACTTTCATATTGATAGTTCTTGATGAAGAATATTCGACAACGAAATGTCGATTCAAGATTTGTCTTGAGAACGGAGCTGATTCCACTAGTTCAACAAGATGTACAGTTGAGAATTTGTAATTAGTATAGAAGTCGAATATTGAAATCAAGCTTCTATTCGAAGTCTTTTAAGAACAAAATCTGTCTAAGACATCTCGACGTTAAACATGATAGCTTGTTTCAATAAATTGAACGCATTTATATGGACTGATCAACAATTCCCTGTTGAACACGATTCCTGCAAGAACGATGGCCAGCAAGGATATGGATATTCCTGACTGCAACACCTACATCTATGCCCACACTCTTATTGCAGTCTGTTTGCGGCTGAAATGTAAAATTCACATATTCTACATAAGTTAGCAGATAATTTAGTATAAAATGTTTTTTTTTTGCTTAATGAAATGTACTTTTCAATTTTCTCGGCTTCCTTAAACCGCATAGAGATGAGATTTTTTCCAAAAGATTCTTCGTTGGATTCTCTAGAAAACGGTATATTTTCATTTAGCAAATATGATTTTACTTATTTCTTAACGATCTATATCAGCATTTGGGACCACAATCATAACTCCTTAAAATATTGGTTTGATCTAAACAATTTTATTAATGTTTTATGCTGTCTATCATCTCGAATTTTGTTTTTAAACTTTTCCAAGTTCAATAGATATAACATTTGAAGCTGACTATCGTCGGATTTTTTTAAAAGTAGCCTCGACCATTATTTAAATAACTCTCGATTGCTTATAGCTATCGAGCTCGGATTTTCGCCATTAGAAAGAGCAAGTGAGGGGACATGTATCTATATAAAATTCATAAGGTTCAAATAAGTTTTTCATGAATGTTTTTGAACGAACATCTTTTTCGTTGTCCATTTTCATGAGTTTTCACAGCAATCTACGCTTAAATTATACAAAATTCTAGCCTAAAACAATCTTTATTCCTGGTAAAATTTTTAAATCTTTCTATAGTTTATTTGAACCAATACTTCAAAACTATAGTTTCAAAATACGAAAATTTTACAAGGAATAAAGATCGTTTTAGGCTAGAATTTTGTATATTTTAAGCGTAGATTGCTGTGAAAATTCATGAAAATGAACAACGAAGATGTTCGTTCAAAAATATTCATGAAAAACTTATTTGAACCTTATGAATTTTATATAGATACATGACCCCTCATTTGCTCTTTCTAATGGCGAAAATTCGAGCTTGATAGCTATCAGCGATCGAGAGTTATTCAAAAAATGGTGAAGGTTATTTTTTTTAAAAATCGGATAATAGATACTATGGACTACAATATGAATGAAAGTAGACTATTATAATTCATATAATTGTCGAAATATGAACTTACCGAAAAACTTCATTCTGCTTGTTGATCAATATAGGTATCACTGTATATATATTTGGAATTATTTTTTTAAGATGTTTGAATACAACTTTTAAAGGTTAAATGAGGATAGAAGGACATTTAGAGTAATGAATTAATGCTCAAAAGTTGAAATGTCTTTTTTTATAGCTTAATTGATGATATCAGATTAGGAAAATATAATAAACTACATAATTCTTGATTATGGAAAAGTAATTTAAGTACATATTTGAATGATTCATGACTTAAATACATAAGAAATGAGGAAAGAAATATTTCTATTACTAGCAACAATTGAAGCTCATCAGATTAAATCTTCTTAAAATACAGAAAAAAGACAATTTTCAAGAATAAATAGTAGAAAGGTTATCTCACTGGAACACTGATTCGTTTAAGACCTTAGTTTTCTTGAATACATTTATAGAAATAAGACAAGGCAATAATACTGTAAAATTCAATATGACTAGGTGACACTGTATGAATAATAAAATTAACATCGAGATTCCACAAGAATAAAAAATGAAAAAGAAAAACATTATTGCTGTTCCGTTAATATTTGATTGTAAAGCCAATAATTCAGTATTTTCTCTTGAAATAAATTTATAAAAATCCAGTTCTGAGATATGATTCATGATCATGATTGATAGTCATTGATAAAAAAAAATGAAATAATTGATCAAAAACTCCATTTAATTATGTATAAGGTGAATCGAATGGTAATAATTCGTTGGATGGTGGTTGTGGTACTCGCGATATAACATTCGAATAGATTGGATTCGTATGACTAACATGTGATAAAGAATCATCTGATTCATGTTCGGATAATTCTATCAAAGTGAAAATAGAAAAAAAAGTGTTTTTTTTTTTAAATATATTTCTACCATCATAAGATGCAGCAGTATCACCTTCATTACTCGTATCGTCTTCTTGATGTATATGTTGATTTTTTTCAATGTTTATTCTTTTTGTTTTTCGTTGATTTGTTCCATCATTACGACTAACATTTTGCCATCGTCTATTAGAATCTTTTTTTAATCGTTTTTCTTTAGCACGACGATTTTGAAACCTTCAAAAAAAAAGATAATCAATTCAATTTTTCTTGCTCTAAGACTTATCATACCAAACTTGTACAACACGCATATCTAAACCAGTTTCAGCTGCTAATGATTCTCGTATATGTCGTGCTGGTTTTGAACTTGTATTATAGGCTTGTTTAAGAACTTCAAGTTGTTTTTGTGTAATAGTTGTACGTGGTCTTTTACTTGTATCATCAAATTCTAAAATCATAATATTCATAAATAAATATAAAAAAAATCAAAACTATTCATCTATATCTACCTTTATTTTTTAATGTATCATAATCAATTTTACAAACAAGTTTTTGATCATCAAATAAATAAAATTCTTCACCTGTATTTAATTGACGATGACAAATAAGACAAGAAAAACATTGTAAATGATAAACATAATCATTTGCACGTCGTACTATTTCACTTGGTGGAATACCACTACCACAAGATGCACATTTTGTACCAAATTTTCTTTTAAAAAAATTATTTATTAATAATTTTTTAAGTTACAAAAAAAAAAAACAAATCACTAAATTACCTAAAAAAATCTTCTTTACAATAAACATTTCCATCTCGAGCATAACATTTATCAAGTAATTTTATATGACATTCACAACAATTTAAACATAAGGAATGAAAATGATTTTCATTGACTTTAAAAACAAATTGATCACATATTGGTAATGAACATACAGAACAATCATAAATTGTGACTATTGTTGAATTATCCGATCCTAGAAAATAAAACAATGATAATATTTCTATTTTAAAAAACTAATGCTAAAAATTAGCTTCTTAATTATATCTTTACATTATCTATGGATGTAGCGACGAGATGTGCACCGAGAACTCATTGGATTGGCTCTGGATCTGCGTTCAACCCAACAGTTCTCATTTTTCCCTAGCAAAAATCGTTTTTCTTAATGAAAAAAAAAATTTTCCATTTTTCCACTTTTAAAATTGTAAATGCATTAGAGATCATCGAGTTCAAAATTTTTACAGCCGGACCCAATCGAACAGTACTTTGATACTCTCAATGAAATTTTCTAATCGGATTTGGATAGTCGCCCCACAAATACGAGATACTTTTTTTTTCGGTTTTCCATATTCGATGACTATTGCATCCTACACATTTCCCAGACGACTAGAGTCCGTCAGCTCTAAAATTTTTGGGTCTGGTTTAATAGAAAATTTGTCTTGCACCAGCTCTCAACGTACTTTTTCTTCTTCACTAGATCCTTGAATCTATTTTCTTGGACTTTTAATGCTAAACTATTCTAGTATATCTACCAATCGAAATTAGAATATATAATGTTGACATTGATTTCTTTTTTTTTTTTTTGTTTTTTAGGAAACTAAATGACAAGAGAATGTGAAATAAAAGAATATTTAATCTACCTGTATAATTTTCATATTGATGATGATTATTTCCTATAAGAATATTTGTTTCATTATTACATGTCATATTTATTTTCCTGAAAATCAATGAGTGTGTTTCTTTTTAAGCACGCACTTATCTTTTTTTTTTTACTAAACATAAAGGCATAGGCGCCTGTGACTTTTTTATTCTTGTATTCATTCGTTGATGAGGGAATATGTTCACCAATGAGGAAAAAGTTAACAGAGAAAGAAAAAGAATAAAAGGAAGGACTCATTCCCTTGTTTTTTTTTCTTCTTTCTTTTACTTCATCCAGTCAACACTTGTCTTCATTCCCTCCCTTTTTTACAAATTGTTATCATTGTGAACTATCTATCGGATCATGAAACTAAGAAAAAGAGATAGAACAAAGGAGGACTGGTGTCATGCAAGCGACTAAATCCATCCACAAAGAGATAAGAAATCGATCAGATGGTAATGAAAACTTTTGAACAGATGGATTTTCAAACAAAAATACTAAAAGTACATTTTTTCGTATACAGTCGATGATGACAAGTCTTTTTATGTTGATTTCTCAGGAGAACATTATAGGTAGTTGTATATTGATTGTTAACACTTTCCTATTCTAGGTGATGATAACATTCACACTTTGTTGTCTATCTATATTATGTCGTTCACATTGAACTCAATGACATGAACTTTATGATCATTGATCACGCATTTCATTAAAATTACATTGTTGTTGTTCACATTTTAATCAATATAAATACATGATAGTCTAAGGAGATTTGTCTATGTTAATCTTCGTTTCTTTTTTTTGTTTTTCTTGTTGTTGTCAGAGGAACAAAACTGAACAATATAGTTAAATACAAGTATTCTTTTGTATTTTTTTTAATAATGTGTCAGACATAAGAAAATTCTTTTTTGTCTTTACATTTGATTTATCATGAAAAAAAAACGACGACATTTTTTTTAATTAAGATAAAATTTTCAAATACATAAATGATATTGAATATAATGATTGGACAATTAAGATAAAGTGAGATGATTAATCAACTTCTGTTCTATTTATTTGTTTGATGACTCATAGAATCATCATCAATGACATATTGTCATAGAAATTTTTATCGATATATAATATGTTTTCTCGCTTTTTTTTTTTGAGGGTTTCTTTCGTCATTTAATATGCTAATTGCATTCTTTTTCTTTTTTAACCAACAAGTGTGAAATGCATGTAGATCTATACAAGTCAATGTTCATTCTTTTTTTTTTCTGTGTTTCCACTCGTTTACTCTTAGATGATGCATATTATTTGCTTGTACAGTCAAATGTCATCTGAAGCTTATTCAGGTGAACTATTTAATGAAGATAGAGTAGATCTTTTCCGAAGGGCATGAAGTTGTATTCATTCGAATGAATCAATACAAAAGACATATCTCTTGTCTTTGTGAACACCATTTACTTAGATGGGTATGTTAATTAAATAATGACATGAGTATGTGACAGGTTGTTGGTCAACACAGCACGAATTCGTTTCTTTCTATATAACATATGGAGACGATTATTTTGTATCATTTTCTTTTTTGAGTGAAAATTAAATATCTGAATTCAATAGAAAAAAAAAAGATTAATCGTATATAATTGGATTCTCTATCTTAGTAAAATTGAATTGACTAAAATAAAATCATCACCTCTACTATAGGAATTTCTTTTGTTCTACAAGTTCTCAATAGAAGATTAAACTCAACGTTTTTTTTTCAATTACGATTATTGAATAAAAATAGCGAGAAAAAGAATGGGTTAAAAGAACCTTATAGATTATGATAGGTAGGATCGTGCTGCACATTTAAATCTCATGACAATTGCACTATACGTTCTTTTATCTCATGAAATATATATAAGATCCCTCATGAGGAAACAGTTCGCCGGTAGTAATAGAAGACTTCACTTAGTAAATTAACTTCTCACAAAACTAAAACTTTAGTTGGTAATATTGAAATCAAATTTTGCTTAGTTTCCAAGATTTCAGAGCTGAAAATGTTGCAGGACTGAAGTCAATATTATTTCTGTGCTTTTAAAACCTTCAAAATGTCTTCCTAAATTCTCGAAATCTTTTTGATTTTTTGAAAAATCTTTTTTATTGGAAAACTATGGCAATACAATAATGGAAAAAAGTCTCCATCCTACGCGATCTCGATCCTTGTATACGCTGCTCTTTCCTACTAAAAATATGAATAATATTTGATATTTTTACATTTAGTTGAAGTCTCATCTACAGTGTTTCTTCACTCAAAAGATAATTTTATTTGCTCGAATGTTGATGTTTCTGAATCCTTGGAATGAACAAGATTATCAGCTATGCTTCAGTTCTCTTTAGTGTAAGATCTGCTTCTGAAACTTGTAGATAATAATGTCTAACTGTAGAGGAAGCTTCTCAAAATGTTTGAACTTATTTCATTGAATTGTTACTGAGTTATTGAAGTCCAAAGGATAGTAGATGGTTTGTCTCCACAACAATGATTGTAGTAAAATCGATAGAGTCTTTGAAAGGATTGATGAATTTCAATGAAATTTGTAATATAGATAGTCAGGGCATAATATTATATATTAAGGGATTAGAAATCGAATATTTTTCCCAAGCCGAAAGAAACCTTTTTCCTGTGGTGGTCCCATCTTAACAAATTCCTATGGATATCTTTGGACCCGGAATCTTCTATTGCAGGAATTGTTACTTATTTCAATACATATCTTCTTATAGACAAAAGACAATTGAAAAAAACCTCCATAGTTAGACTTAATTTCATACATAAAAAAATGCAAATTATGATAAATGTCAACGGATTTAACAGAGATATGTACTAATTAATGTTTTATTAGATATTAATTAGACTCTTTAAATTGGACACCTGTTAAAGAGAATTTTCATAATAGTTTGTTCAATTCTTATCGATATCTCTCCATTCAAGATGAATTCAATATTTCATCTAGTATCAAATATAAGAACTTTTTGGAAGACATTTTTATTTATCAACAAGGTATTATTTCACAGCGTGTCCTAAAAGTCACCATGAAAAACAATGTGGATATCTCTTAAACATTGCAAAAGATTTATATATTTGATTTTCAATATTACAGTATACTCTTTGAAGTTTTATTTCATATAATTTGTTTCATAAATAATATTCAAAATAATTTTACCATGATTTGAAATATTCAAATCCATCCTTGTCAAAATAGTTTGAAGAAAATACTCGACAAACTTTATTTTCGAATTATTTATTTTCGTTATTTATTCTATATGTCTTATTAATATTCGTTTTCATTTTATATTTATCTATGAACCATACCAATAAAAAGCATCTTCGTCGGTAAAAATAAAGAATTCTCTTGATTGTCAATCTTTATCGTGAAATTTTTGGACACATTATACCGTGCATAGCTTTATCAGACGATATTCAGTCATCATTGGTTCGCGGAATGATGCAGACTATAGCAACAGCCCAAAGATTTACTTAGTGGGTCATTTTCATACACATCATGAACTTCATCATGTTTTTTTTTCTTCTGTAAATGTTGAAGGTTGTTCATAGCTTTGTCGATTTGCTACTGTACTAATTTCACAAAAGTTCAGCATGTATTGGCGCTGTAGTGGAGAGGCTATGGTAAAATTTTCGGCCCTATACTGTGACATTTGCAGAAGATATTCAACAGATAAGAATTAAAAATCACTCATTTGGCAATCAGAGAAAAGTTCAATGTCTCGAAAAACTCTTATTATAATTATAAGGGTACTCTTTTATATAATAGTAATAAAGTTTAATTAAAAAAATGGACTCTGCCATGCCCTGCATCTTGATATACTCTTTGAAACAAAAAAAAAAGCATTAAATATATAGAATGAAGATTCATAGAGAATTCTGAGTTGCGTGATCAAAAAAGCATAAACAGAAAAAAAAGCAAAAAAAGATTCCCTGATTTTTCTCAAGAAGCATATTTTTCAAGCAGAATTTGATAAAAATCATCAAAAACCGAAGTGTCAAATAAAAAAATCATGTTGTTTATGAAAGATTAGATCTCTGGCTATCATTTTAATTTCGATTTTTCTGATGAAAATTGACTTTTTTTTTTACTGAATACTTTTTGGAATATTGTGTATTTTTGTACAAATGAAGAATATGAATCTTTATCTAATACTCCGTTGAAATAAAAAGTCATGAATGATGATCTTATTTTCTTGTTAGATCCAATTACGTAATGAACTATATTAATTCTAACCATGTCAATCGAAAGTTTCTCGTCGTACTCTGTCCGACATTATTAGTAAACATTTATTTTATTAATCAAGTTTAAACAATGCAAGAAAAAGACAAGGAAAAATCTAAATCATACTTTTCTCGCTTATAATTGTCTAACCGATTGTTTACTAAAAGTGATTGAATTCATAAAGTTTTATCAAGAATGTTTTCATAAGCCTTGATGAAATTAGTTTATAGGTAAGCGGAGACTAATTCCCAATTCAATGTATCTATATAATTTTTTAGAATATTTATCAATGTTTCAAGTAGTATTATATTGATTAAATATCTGTTTTTGAATAATAGTAATCTAAACATAAGAATATCATTTTCAGTTTTTTTTCCCTAAATCGACTAAAATAGAATTTTTTTAAAACAATGAATAGATTTTACATCAAATCATACTATAGTAGAAACCAATCAATAGCTATTATAATCATTGATTTATCAATGACTACTTAACATGTCAAAATATAGACTGAATAAATAGATTTAAAATGAACGAAACACATGAATATGTTATAAGTAGAATGTAAAATGACATAATGCATATGCAATAAAAATACTTTCATCCGGTAGAAACCAAAAAACGATTGATTAGTTTTCACTTGATTTTTATTTTATGTAAAAATCTATTCATTGTTTAGTTAGAAAATCTGAAGAAAAAAAAATCATGTTAAACAATATTCTATCATTTGAAACGTCAATATAAATATTCAAAATTCATATAATTGATTGGATCAAAATTTATAATACTCATATAGTTTACCAAGGATGGAGATCGATGACTTAAAAGGTTAATTGGAAGATTTTTACTAAAATTGACCAGGTTTAAGAAGAGATTGAGCGTTTTTTTGAGAATTGGTAAACAAAAAAAATACGAATCAAAACGCTCGAACTTTGCTGGAAAAAAACGAAAATTTCTCAAGATTGAGGGACAAGGCGTGACTGCGCGCTTGAGGCATCCTGTGATTCACTTTCACATGAATGTAATACTAACCAATTAAAACCTTAAAAATTCATTTCATATTTGATCAATATTTGACAAATAGAATTAATGTACGTCTTTAAGTATTGACGTAGAAGAACGATGATAATTATATACGTATTTTTATTGATTAATAAGACTAATTTCATACAAATATTCAATTCTTTTTCTTTTCAACTTTTTCCTTCTATTCAATATTAATTCAAGAATAAAGAGACAAAAAAATTTCTTCATAACTCTTTCAAAACCTCTCAAATGCATCAAAACGAAAGAAAACATATGATCTAATTACTACTAAACTAGAGATAGAATACCATAGAGTATTTAATAGAACAAATTTTATATCTCTATATACTTTAATTATATCACAAAGAACTCTTAATGATAAAATAGATTATTGAGTTACCGAAAAACTATAAATACTATTTTAGAAAAATATCCAATTTCAAAATCATATTTTCTAATCGAAGGAAAGCTCTTCATTGAGCAATTCAAATAAATCCCATTCTATCTTTCCATTAAGAAGAATAGACGAAGGTCATATATAATTATATGAATAACATCAGTTCTATATTTCCTTAGGCATTATTATTATTATTTTTTGTATAGAATATGCCAAGATAATTTAACCTTTTATTGAAGTATCAACATCTACAACAATAAAAAAATAAGTTTTGAAAATGCTACAGTTCATTAGTTTGGAACTAATCATAGAATATTGTCTTTCTTCATCATCATCAACAGAGAAACCATATTGACTTGAGGCAATTTGCTTATATATATATATATATATATATATATATATTTTCTTATATTTTATCGTATTGGAAAGAGAACGGGAAATGCTCTAATATGTCTCTTGTAATTTTTTCTGGCAACGTTGTTCGATAGTTTTAATTGAGAAAGACTCAAAGAGAATCGATAGAAATCTTCTCATTTCTTTTTCTCATGTTGATTTTCTTCTATTCTCTTGCTACGATCTTTCGATATTTCCGGCAAACGACATCGACTTCATTTCTCACTAGATTTTTTTCTTCTTTATTTTTCATTCTTTCGATGCCGGTAATAATCCATTGCTATTAGTCCTACTACTCCTAGTCTCTTCATTGAATCATGCAAAATGCTAAATTCCATATTACAAAAACAAAAAAACCAATCTTCAATGAATTCTTTAGTAAGTTATTTCATTTACCTATAGGTCTTTTTTTCTTTCTACTTGATACGGTCGGATGAAGTTCTTTTTTTTTTTATGATTCTATAATGGTTCATCACATCGATTGTATTAGTACATATGTCTAGAAAAACATCGTTGCAATCATTTAGAAATACATAGTCAAGGTTTTATGCATGTCAATGAGAAAATATTGATTGATAGTATCGTTGACAGTATTAGACACAAACACATGTCAAAGACTAAAGAAATAAAAAATTATTATTTCTTTTTCTTTAGTTCATTCATTCGATCCTTATCATTAATTAATGCTAATAAAATTTTAACATTATGAGGAACAATGAAATGGTATTTTTCATTTTCTAAATCATATATATTTATAACAATATTTATTCTTAATATGATTAATGTTTCATTATTTGTTCATTCATTAAATAAATCATCATGTTCATCTTATTTATTTTCAACTAATATTGATATTCGTACAAATCATCAATATGTTCAACCATGTCCGGTATCAATACCTTGTCAATGTTTATGTGACATTGAAAATAAACATTTATGGATTGATTGTTTTAATCGACAAATAAAAACATTACCAATTTTTAAAACAATTCCAACAAATAATAGTATTATTGAATGGAATATTGATTTAGCATTTAATTTATTTGATAATTTAAATCATTCTATATGGATACCAACTAATATGCATATAGGTCATTTAGTTTTCTCAGGTTCACTTGCTTATGATCTTATTGTACAATTAAATTTAACTCATAGGCATTTAATTGATACGTGGCCTAATCAAGAACATTTATCAATTATTAATGATGATGATGATGATGATGATGATGATGATGAATCGGATCGGTTTTTTGATGATTATGAGGAAGATAATGATAATGAAGTGAAAAATAAATCTTCCGTGATTCAGTCATATTATGAATATACACGCCATCTTACTGAATTAACATTGCGATTACGTGGTGAAACGAAACAAATAAAAAATTTTGCTTTATCACTTGCCGGTGAACCATCATCAGTTTCAATTCTTTATCTTGATCATAATTCACTTGATAATGTACCTATTGAAGCTTTATATAATGCAACAAGTTTATATGAACTTTATTTATCATATAATAATATCAGTTATTTACCAGCATATGCATTTGGATTTTCTCATCGTTTAACACGACTCGATTTATCACATAATCAAATATCATCAATAGATAATTTAACATTTCATCGACATCCAAATGCATTTGCTGGTCCATTTCTTATTGATTATCTTGATTTATCACATAATCAATTAACAACTTTAAAACCAAGTATATTTTCCTATCTTGTTAATTTACGTTTTTTAAAATTAGAACATAATCAAATACATTCATTATCCGCACATCTATGGACTGGACTTTATCGATTAAAATATCTTGATTTATCACATAATTATATAGAAAATTTTACTCAAGCTTTTTATAATTCTTATCTTAATGAATTACAACATTTAAAAATGACATCAAATAATATTAATCATTTAAATTCATGTGAATTTTTATCACTCAAAGCATTAAATAAACTTAATCTTAGTATGTAAATTGCTTAATAATTATTGTATGTGAGTGCAAAAAAAAAATCATGCATCAAATCAAAATTTGTTAAGATAAATGTTATTCATAGATTCGTGTATTAGAATAAGAATAACGTTTAGTATTAGTTTCATCTCCAATAGATAAATACTATTCGTTTGAAATTGAATCTAGACGATGAGCAGATAGAAAGATACGATCAATCTGCCTGCAAGCTAGAATTTATCATGATTAAATATGAGAGATAAAAGTTTGAAAGTGTAAATTGAATATCTGGAAAAAAAAAAGATTTTCTGTCAAGTATGAAATGATTTTGTCTGTTGGAAAACTGCTTTTGACGTTCTTCCTTAACTTAAGACAATCTCCTTTTTCACCGACTCAAAAAATTTTAAAACTTTTCATGCTTGATTTTTCTGCTGAATAAATGATTCGAAGTGTTCTTTATCTGCTGGATTTGTTTCGTGCACTTATAGATAACTATAAAAGTTTTAAAAAAAAACCTAAAAACATTAAACATTTTCGCTAAAAAACATTAACATTTTTCATTGTTTTTGAACAACAAGTTTTTTGACAAAAATAATAAAGAATCGACGCCGTTCCGTAAGCATAATACGTCCGACTGCACTCAAATGTTTTTCTTCTAATAGTAAAAAATATTCAGGGTGTCTACTGCTTTTTTATTCAAAATATAATGTACTACCGGTTTTTGCCGCGTTCTACAAAAAAAAGCTTTAGTCAAAAAACAACGTGATTCTTTGAAGATTGTTGTAATGATTTTGCTGTCTTTATTCGAACGGAAAGAAATGAAAAATGAACCAAAAAACACAGGTGCCCTAAACAATGTCTAATAACTATAAAAAAAAAGTTTCAACTGCATCAAACATATTGTGGCTGAAAAAGGAGGGAAAGTGATAAGGCAGACCATTTTTTGGCACTTTCAATCTCAGTATCTCCTAGAGGACAACATCTGAATCTAAAGACTCCAGACACTGAGGGATGGAGAATCTGATAAGATATCATCTAACAAAAAAAAAACTTGTTAATTTTTTTTTATTTATTCAGGTGGAAATAATCTTTCAAGCCTTGATACATGTGCTTTCCATGGTCTTTCTCGTACAACATCTCATTCTTCATTACATATTCATTTACGTTCAAATCATTTTGAAACTCTTCATCCATGTACATTTATAAATTTTGCACGTTCGACAATTCATGTTGAAAATAATCCATTGATATGTAATTGTTCATTTAATTATTTATTACATGATCGTAAATCACTTGCTTATACTGGTCAAGAATGTCGTGGTGGATTTGCCTATCAACCGCAAACACAATTATTTTCACCTGCCGTCCGTAAAACAAATAAACCGATTGGAAAAAAAATTGTAAATAATTCAATAACATGTCGAAATGCATATAAATATTATAATAAGTTATGTTCAAAACTTGATTGTACAAGTATATGTTCACCAAATGAACGTTTTATTATTCAAATGACAACAATAGCAACACCAAATAAAACCATATCTCAATTTCAACAAACAATTCATTTATTTTTAATTATTTTATTATATGTGATATTTAAAGAGAAAATATAGAAAATATTTTAGTTTAGTTCAATTCTGAAAATCAATTATAAAATAAAAAATGAAGATTATTTCAATATTTATAAATCAATTATGTTTTCTCTTTTCTATTGTTGATGATGTTTGTCATAAGAAAAGAGATTTTAATGAGTAATTGCATAATATCATTCATAAGATATATGAAAACAAAAACAAAAAAAGGAGTTTTGAGAAAAGATTCGATTAGTAGATATAATTCTTTAGTTGATTGTTGTTCTATGATTTCTATAATGAGCATAGAAAGGATAACAAAATTTTATTTGAAAAATTTCGATCAAAAATTCTTCATGTCTAAAATGTAAAGGACACATAATTGATTTTCTTTGTAATACAATAGAAAAGTGTTATTGACAAAGTTCTCTATAAGAAAGAAATAGTGACGAATGTTGATCTTAAAGCAATTCTAATATCACTCTTCTAATAAAAAATCTATTCCGAAAATAACTTGGCAAACATTGAATCTTTGGAATGATATAAGCAAATAGGAACAAAAATCTTGATTACTTTGTCGGTCTACCCTGAATGCATAGTATGACGTTCACTTATTTGTCTTCTTTTTTTCTCTCGTTATTTCCCAAGTGAGTTTTTCTTTTGTTCTACTTTGATGAAAGCATACAACAAATGACAGGCAAAAAAAAACTTGAAAATTATTCTAGTATTCTTTTCCTTTATTTTCTATTAAAAAAAATATTTTCTTTTCACGCAAAAAGAAACCAAACGAGTTGAGTAAATTATTAGTATTAAGAGTAAATGATGGCGAGTGCTGAAGAAGAAATACGTCGACGTCTTCTTGATGTTGCACCAGAACCTAATGAATCATTACCATTTCATGGTCGTGTCCGATTAGCTCGTAAAAAAAAACCTGATCCATGGTATATTAAGGCAGCTGAAGTAAACAATTGATTGTGTGTGTTTTTTTTTTAATTTTTATTCTTTTCTTGTATCATAGGGTCTTCTACTTTGTCTTGCTCTTGGATTACTTTATGCAACATATTATCATTTTGAACATGTTCATTTTCATGTCAATCGTTTTTATGCAAATTTAGGATATAAAGAAGCACAACATAACCTTGGACATAGTTATATGCATGGTAAATATTTCAAGAATCTGTCGGTTATTTTTTTTTTCTGCTTTCTCAAACTAAATTATTTGATTAAGGTGTCGGTGCTGATCATCATGCAGAATCGGCTGTATACTGGCTCAAACAAGCATCAGATCAAGGTCATGCAAAAGCTCAATATAATTTAGCTATATCTCATTTACGAGGATTTAATACAGGTCTTCAACCAGGGTATTATAATATGAAATTCATATAAAATTTTTATTTTTTATATTTTGCTAAAATATTTAGTGAAGCACGTAAATTAATTGAACTAGCAGCTCAAGCTGGTGTTCCTGAAGCTCAAAAAACATTGGAAACTATTTGTGCCCAAGGTGGTTGTGAAATTTGAAATATAAACTCTTTCGATATTGTTTTTTTTTTTATTTTTGAAAAACAAATAAACACAAAAAAAAAAAAGAAAACCATAGTTAAGATTTAAGTTTAATGCCACGTTTAATACCAGCACGAATACCAGTCGGTTCACCGATATATTTTTCTTCTTCAGTTCGTGCTGTTGGTACACGACTTTTACGTTTAATTAATGCTCGTGCATATTTATTACGATGATGTACACGTGGATTTCGATATTCTTTTTTACGTTTAGTTGTTAAACCTTTATTCTTTTCAATTTCATAGGTAATACCACGTTTCTGTGGTTTATCTTCTTTTAGTTCAATTTCTGTTTCAATATTCATTTTTTCTTCTCTTCTTTTCATCATACGTTCACGAAGAGATGGTTTACCAACAGTTCCATTCTAAATAAAGAGAACAAGTATTGCAAATTTTTCTATGAGTAAAAAAATATTTAGAAAAAAAACTTCATTTGTTTCTAACTTATTCATGTCACATCATTGTTAGTAATTTACCTGGTGATAATTTTCTTGAAAATGAAAGATATTAAAGTTAGTGTGAAATAAAGAATGAAAGAAATTAAGATGAAGACAAGAAAGTACTATTCAAATTCATAATTCTCTTTCGATCCTGTTAAAATATGTTATATACTATTAGTAGATAATTTTAATGATTTAAATCAATTGCATTATCTCTTCATAGGTAATAACGTTTTCAAGAATCTATTAGAAAACGACTTTAGTAATTATCGCATTCTATAGTAAAAATTTGTAGGACAAAAAATGTAACTTTAATATCGAAATAGATACATCTACTTAGCAGACAACGGCCGAAGTCTTTCACCAGTTTTGAGTTCACTTTTTGGATATTTATAGAGAATCTCTAGAGTAGAATAGCTTTTGAGAAATTCGGGTACATCGATCTTGTCTATAGAATTACAATACTCTTGCTGAATTTTTATCATAGGACATAGTATTGGTAGCAAAATTGAATAAAAGATTTTTATTCGTTAGATCTGATGATCTTAAGAATATTCTAAAAAGTTTCAATTCAATGATTAGCTTTTTTCTTAAGATATTCATTGTGAAAAAATTGATTCGATTACGAAAACAGTTAGTAAAATCGGAAATTGTTCATTGTTGAATATTTCAAGACATAAACAATTATTTTGAATGAAACTTTTAGTAAATTCTTAGAATTATAACATCTACTTATAGAGGATATTATACGTACAAAATTCTTTGTTCAATTACTTGTTTATACTGTTCTATGGTAAAAATCGAATAAAACTAATGTAACTCTATAGAGAAGATCTATAAACTCGGATCTTTTTCGGATTATTTTAGTCTAATAATTCTCTTCTAAATATTCAAAATATAAACTAAAAATTAATAAATCATTTCGACAGATTTCCTCGTTAGACAAAAATGTATACGCATTCCACATGTTTATCTTGTAAGTGGATATATGTTGACAAGTTCGATTTTTCTTCTTTTCTTGTTTGTATTCTCTCCCTACCATTGTTTTAATTGGCAATGAAATTCCATTATTCATAATAAGATGTGGTTTCGATATGAGTTGATTTTGTTTTGATACAGACGATTGATTTATTTTCAATTTTTTCTCTTGAAGTAATTCACATAATTTTAATAAATTTGATTTCATTGATTGAAAATCTTCATCAACTAATTGACATAATTTTCTATATTGTTCAATATCATTTATAATTGGATGTTTTGATATATTTAAATCTGTTGATTTCATCATTAAATATAAACTTAAATATGAACAATAAGTAAGATAAAGTTCAATAATAGATAGAATAAATTGCCATCCTGAATATGAATGAAATTCTTCTAATGATGATGTATCAATAACAAGTTGTATAAATGGTAAAAGATATATTTTAAGATCATCAAAAATATTTTTAAATTCATTACATAATAGTTCTAATTCAGGTGATTGATCACGTATTAATTGTAAACGTTCATTTGAATTTAATTCAAGAAGATTATTTGGTAATATAATATGACGTTGTAATGTTTGTTCATCAAGATTTCGATCTGTTAATATTGTTGATGGTTTTTGTTGAAATAAATCTAAACCAAAATCATTTTTTTCTAACATATCATAATATTTTTTTTGAATTTGTATAGCTTCTTGTTCTTCTAATTTAGCATCTTCATCATTAACATTTTCATCTTCATTATAAAATATTTTTCGAGATGTTCCCCATGAACCACCAAGATCTTCATCGATTTCTTCTTCCTCATTATCATCATCATCATCACCTTCTATTTGTTGATATTCATTATCATCATCACTTGCCATTGAATCATCATCATCATCAAAAGCAAGTACTTCATCACGATTATTTTCATTATCAGATTCATTGTTATCTAATGCCCATGAAACACTTTTCTTATTTTTTGATGATTTTTTATTCGCCGTTTTAGATAATGCTGTTCGAAGATTTTCATCACGCTCTTTATAAAATGTGTCTATTTCATCATCAGCACCATCATTAAATCCATGATCATCATTATCATCATGATCTTTTCCATTTGATAACAATAGATCAGGATTATTTTGTTGTTTTAATCGACTATTTTTTTCAGATGATTGTATAGATTTTTTACGAGGCTTACCCATTGAAATCAATCTAAAATAAAAATAAAGACAATTCAATGTTCATTAAATCTATCTGATAATGAAAATGATTCAATACTATAATCACTCGATTAAGCAAATTTTCGAGTAGAAATCCGGCGATTTTTTAAGGACTTATTTTGCTGTAAGAAGGACTGTATTAGAGTTTAAAGCGTTTCGAACTCATGGTCATTCTTTATTGTTGAATTCAAATAAAAGTTTCGCAAAAAAAAACGTTTAAGTGTAACATTGAAAGATTGGTATGGTGAAAAAATATCAAATCTCACTGGAAAGTCGTCCAATCGACGACTCATTTTATTCGGAACTATTTGTATCATGCAGACCTCAATGAGGACTGAATATCCAGAAACGAGGTTGATGAAATTGTCAACGGAACTAAGTTTTAACGAAAATAGTTCATAGTGAAAATTTCAAGTCTTTTAGATTAACTCCTATCCTAAAATAAGAACATCAAATCTGTCAGTATATATGAACAATGTAAAAGACACACTTGTATCATCGCTCGTAGCTTAGGATAAAAACAATGAAAAGATCTGAAATTTTCGCAAAAAAAGTATTCTCACTACTATCTGTTTTTCTGAGAGACCACGATATTGTTCTTACAAAATACCATAAAAATGCAATATCTTCCCAGTAATAAGCTAAAGATAGGAGTTCAGTTTACTAAGATCTGTATGATACATAGAGTTCCGACTCTAACGTGACTAATCAATTGGAAGTCTTCTAGATTTATATCTCAATCTCATAGCGAAGGTATGAAGACCAGAAGTGCTCTGAAATCTCCAGAATTGGAGGAGCAAAATGACTCAGGAAGCTGATGGGAAGGTTTTTGTTAAAATTGACCGAATTTCGGAAGGAAGTCGGCCTTTATTTTAAGAATTTGTGAGCAAGAAAAAAAAAAGAATAAAATGCTGGAACTTCTTTGAGAAAAAAACAAAAATTTCTCAAGATTAGAGGGTAAGATGACCTCCGGCTCGCAACATTCCCGATGAAAACAAATAGTATCTGATAGTTCAAGATATTCTCTAAGATAGAATTATAGAAAAAATTCATCAATGACATATGAAGATATCTTTTAAGAATTACTTCCGTTGAATGATCATCTACTGATTTCTATATTCGTTGTTCATTTTTCTAAAAATCATAAAACTGTAGATATTAAATTATTTCTCTAAATCAAGAAGGTATAATCTTTGGTTTTTTTTTCTTCTCTTCTTTTTTTTGTTTGTTTTTGATGGTAGTCAAATCGAGAAAACAATCATACACACACACACAATACAAGAATAAAAACAACAGAAACATGTATGTTCTTTATAACTGTTATATATGATTATGTGTGTGTTTATTTGATTTAATGTTTAATCTTCATCGGCATCTTCATCATTGCCAGCTTTTTCTCCTTTTTTCATATTTTTTCGTTTAACACGACCTAAATCAAAAAAAAAATAAAATAAAATATTTAGATAAATAAAAAAAAAATAAAACGTCAATTTAAAACTAAATAGACCTGGTCGACCACCACTGGATAATGGTGAACGAAGTGCAAAATCAATATGTTTTTGTGAATCAAGTCGAACAATAAATGATGGAATATTGACCACTTGTTTTCGTACACTAACAAAAAATATTTATTTATTTTTTTTTTTAATGAAATTTATTTAATAATCATACCGAATATGTCGTTGACGAATAAGTACACGAGCATGATGAATACTTTTAGCAAGTGCAAGTCTTAAAAGTTGTGTTTGAAGACGACGTTCCAAAAAATCTTCAACTTTTAAACCCAATACATAATCAAGTTTCATTTTGGATTCATCAAGTACACCAATACGAACAAGACGACGAAGTAAAGCATTACCTTCAAATAATCGTTTTGGTTCTTTTTCGTCAAGTGTAAGTAATTCACGAGCAGCTTTACGAATTTTTGCCAATGTATAACGTACACGCCATACTTCACGTTTATTTCTTAAACCAAATTTACCGATAAGTTCAAGTTCTTGATCAAGACGTTCTTTTTCATAGGGACGCCGTGGTGTTGAATATGTTTTATTATATACCAACGGAACACGTGGCATAATTACCTAATGATCTAAAAATTAAATAAAATACAAAATTTTAAATTTACTAATCAGATATTTAAGAAAAAAGAAAAATCAAAGTAAGAAATAAACAATATTGCACAGAGATTCATTCTGATTGGTTAACCAATGAATTAGTATAGTTTAATATAAGTTTGCTTTAATAATTGTTTTCCTGATATGAAAACTTAATTTTAAAAAAAGACTAGTTAATTCATATTAATGAAATGAAAAAAAAAAAGTTTTTTTT